TGAGAAATGAATAAAATTCAATGGTTAGATTCAATATGACCTTATGGGGAATTCTGATTCAACTCTCATCCAATTTTGTTTGCAGCCAGAATCATGGAAAGAATTAAGTTAATGGTATTTTTATACAATGGAATATTATCAGCTATAAAAAGGATGATCTTGAGGCTTTTATAGGTAAATAGAGGCAACCTAAGCTATCTTCATAAGTGAAATAAATCAGATTCACATTTGTAAATATCATATTATCTCTCTAAAATACAAAAAATTATAATAATAAAATGAAAGAAATAAGATCCAAAATGTATAGTAGATATTGTAATAATGAAAGAGAAAGTACTCTAAAGGATATAGCTGTATATTTGTTTAAGTGTGCAAGACAGATAGTCATACTAAGTTTTTGTTAGTTCATGGAACAGAATAGTTTGTACTGTCATTGATTGTCCACCATTTGTTTTCTGTAACTTGAACAACTACTTCAAAGATAACAATATGCAACTTATCAACTAATGATTTCTTACTGTTTTTTTAATTCTGTGTTATTTCTATCTTTTTTGTTTTGCTTTTTTTCTCTAAATAAAAAATTACAGTAAAAGGCAAAAAAAGAATTAAGCTAATGAACTAAGGAACATATATGACTCATATATAAGAATGTTTATATATTTTCTATATTATACATAGAAAATTATATATATAATACAATAAGGTATTGTAAATATTATATATAATATAAATATATGATATACATAAAATAGTATATAATATGTATTATATACATTTTTTAATTGTCAGTAAATCTCTGGCATTGGCCATTCTGTGGTACAAGGTGCTCACTGAAGTTAGCTTCTCCAGAGATAGCGTCATAATGGAAACTAAAGTTGACTGCTAAAAGGACTTAATGCTTAGGAACAGCATTAGCAGCCTTGCTAAATCAGAGCTTATGTTTTCAATGCCCCAATCTCACCTCTATCCCTGTTCCCATCACTAATTCATTTGTATAACTGTACCTTTACTGTGATGTAGGTTGCAATGTAAGAAGCTAGCTGCCAACTAGGTAGTTTCAGTCTATGTGGTTGTTTAGTTACTTTTTTATGTTAGTTACTTTTCTTGTGAGTGTTAAATTCAATTCAAAAATCTCCAGATTTTTTGTCCACACCCGTATATCCAGTCTTATTCTCTTCTATCTCAGACTACTTTGTCTCTAATCCAATTCTTATCCTTTTTTGTCTTGACCACCCAGCCAAGTTATTCACCTCTGTTCCTAAATCTATGGACTTGGCCTACTTCTCTTGCAACACAAGTGAATGGCCAAATAAACTTCTTAAAGATCCTCTCATTAAGATAATATTCCCTGATCACTTCTAAGCAAATAAAGTGGGCCTGTACTCACCCATCCATGAACCTAATATGTATTGTTTTTTCCCTTCACCAACTTAACTCCCATGGAGTTATGAACTAAGGAAAGGGCACCTGGAAAATAGTAGTGGATGACATGGGATGGTCCAGGCTACCATTTTATGTAGCTTATTTGTTTGCTTTAGTTTTATTTGAGCTCAATTCTATATGTAACACTTTCATTTTATGATGGATTATGGCTGAATTTGCCTGCCCTGACAAAACGGTTGATCCGATAAAAAATGACGATGAAGGACAATTATTAATACACTACCATTTGATAACTCAGTGTTAGGTACTCCATCTGTCCCAGGACCTTGTAGCATGTCAAGAGCTATTTTTTAAAAGGCATATAATTCTCTCCTGTATAGCATGCCGTGCTCAAGAACTCTGTAAGACTTCACTACAGAACTCCTGTTGGAATTTTTCATTTAAATTCCATATATTCCATATATCTTTTCTCACCCTATAAACATTATGGTGTCATAATCTATACTCTGATGGCAGTATAGCCTACTATTCATATGCAATAAAATCTACTAAAATTTTTATGAGTTTATGCTATTACAAAATCTTCAACATAAATGTAGAATTTTTTCCTTTCCTTTTTCTTCACTCTCTATGTTTGATAATCTCATTTATAGAAAAAGTAGAGGAGATTAAAAATACCAAGATAATTGATAAAGAAAATTAAAGAAGGGAGCACTTATCTCTTTTAGGATTGTGATAGGTTGAGTAATAAACCCTCTCAAAGATACTCAAATCCAAGTCCCAGGAATTTATAAATTTACTAAATATACAAAAAATACTTTGCAGATATCATTAAGGGTTTGACCCTGCTATAAATGCAATGACACGTGTTTTTATAAGATAGAAAAACCAAGTGTTAGTTACTTTTCTCATTGCTGAAACAAAATATCTGACACCCAAAATTAAGAGAGGAAAGACTTATTTGGCTCACAGTTTGTGGAAATTTCAATACATAGTCAGCTGGTTCCAAGACAGGGTGGAATGCTGACAAGCATCACAGAGGAAAAATAGCTCAGGGTGGTCAGAAGATAGCAAAGCAAATCAGGGGCAGTAATAGCTCTTTCTACCCATTATATATTATCTAGGCTACTTAGGGTGAGTAGCACTCACACCCTTAATCCTAGTGCCCTTGATCCTAGCATTCCACCATGAATCAAATCCATAGATAGAATTAAATATCTGGGTCCAGCCACTCCTAAAAAACAAGAACCCTCATCTATGACCACACAAGGCTTTCGGGGAGACATCTAGAAATAAACCATCACAACCCCACATACCAATAGGTAGAAGGCAATCATATGATCATGGAGAAGAACAGAAGTCATGAACCACAAGCAAAAGGACTGTCATCAATCAACTGTTGGCAGAAGCCAGAAGAGGGAAGCAAGTTTCTCTCTAGAGGCCTTGGAGGGAGCATAATCCTGCCAACATATTTAGATTTTTATCAAGTGAAGAGCATTTCACACTTCTGGTCTCCAAAACTATAAGAATAGACTTCCATTGTTTTAAATCACCAATGGTAATTGATGACTGTGGTAATTTGTTACAGCAGCCCTAGGAAATAAGTAGAAATAGAATTTAAAAAGCTCTGCAGGTTGCATGGAATTTGAAGAAATAATAGGTAGAATTTACAATACTGTAGTTGGAAAAAGAAGAAATAAGAAAATGGGTAAAGGAGGTAAGCCGGTGAAGGGAAAAGTCAGTGAGAAAAGAATATAAGGGAGTCGTGGAAGAAAAAACAGCTTAATAAGGAGTAGCACAAGCTACTTGAAAATAATTATGTGGGCTGTTAAAGGTCTTGAATGCTACATCAAGACATTTGAACTTTACTCTGAAGATAGCTAAACACAGCTGCTGTTTGTTTATTTCAATGTGATTGCAGGAGAGAGCTATGGGGGAAAAAACTGGGGAAACAATGCATGATAAGCTCCTGGCACTTCTGTTACATACTCTCTAATTTTTTATTCATCTCCTTCCTTACAGTTAGGAATTGAGTTTCTTCAAAACCGACCAAAAAGTGTGACATATACGTGAATAAATATTGAATAAAAAATACTACGTACTTTTGTTTTGGGTCATCACTAAGCATAGCATGATAGAGGGGAAAACAAAATGAACCTAAACTTGAATTATATGACTCCTTGTCAAATGATTATGATAATTTCATTTAAAAATGATACTGGAAGTATGAGATATTGAAATCAATGTGATTAAGCCATATTTCAGGACTTGAGATAGCAATTCTAGAGAAATCCACTAATTAGTAGTGGCTGTTTGGAGTACCAGTGAGAAATAATGTGAGGATTGTGCCATAATGTTAGCAATGCTTGTTAAAGTGTTATATTAGGAGTAAACACCCAAATGACTTCTGCTCATCTTTCTGTTCTTGCTCTAGAAGTCATTTTCTTTAATGTTTTTTTCTTTTCACTTCTTTCATGAGAACAGAAACAAAAATTTCATTTAAATGGAGATGATTAATGAAAGAAGAGTCCAAGAAACAAAAGGTTATCACTGAGAGGATATAAGGCTGTTTCTCCCTCTCTATAACTTCAGAATACCAACTATCCAAGAGGAAAGGTAATACAACTTAATAGTGGACTGCCTGTCTTCCAATCCTGTTTTTTATTAAAGGGCTAGCTCGGTGTTTCAGAGGAGCAACAGATTTAATCTTGAAGAGGAAGAAAATCATTTGATCTATGTAAATTAAAAGGGAAAGTAACTGTAAATACGCGAATTCCAACGCTAAAACTCACAAGTTTTGAGACTGGAATCAGAGAGTGATTAAACATCAGCAGCTGGGCCGTGGTCAAGGTTGAAATGGACCACAAAGCCTGGGTGATAATCTATGGCATCCACCATGTTTAACGTGACAGATTACTGCAATGTTTATAAGTTCAAGATTTAAAAGAATTTATGAAATAAGACAGAAAAAAAATTTTTTTTAAAGCATGCAAGTTTACTTGCTATTGTTGTAAGGCAGGTATGGGAAATACACTATTAGGTCCAAGCTAAACAGCTTCTGGAGGTTTTTCGGAGCACAGAATGGACTTGTAGACCCACTTTGGGCAGCTCTCCTTGAACCCTTAAACAGCTGGCGGACCCCACTGGAATAGAATAGGTCCGTCCCTGGCATCAGAGTGCCCTGTAATTGGGTGCCGAGAGGTAACAGCCACGCGCCCCTAAACCCGTTACCCCTCAGTCTCAGGCGCCGCACCCAGCTGAGGACCGCAGGAAGCAGGGGCCTGAGCGAGCACAACAGGGCTCTCCTGCCTCTGCGTTCGCGGTGCAGGGACAGTAAATGGAGCGACTACTTTCCACTGGGCGAGCCCAGGATCACTTCTTCCGCCCATCTCTTCCTCGTTACTCCTCCTATTAAAATACCAGATTTTCTGTGACAGCTGAGTCGGCTTTCAAGCAGCCAGTCCTGACAGATGTGAAAAACAAACTATGTGATAAAAAAAAACACTTAAAATCACCAATTCAGGCAACTCACAGAATAAAAACAGAAAATGTACTTGTTTAATGCAGACTGTTTCATAAGACAAAGAATACACTGTACTTTTCTGTGCAAGTAAAAATTCGCGCTTTTATCTAGCAACAAGGACCTGCAGTCCGACAGCGCACACGCAGCTTTGGAGGCCATTAAGTACGTAAAATTACCCAGCAGCCCTGCGCGCCTCGGTTGTCTTGCAAGTCTTTCCGGGTCGGTTTGCTACCGCCATGGGGAAGGTAAATGTGGCCAAACTGCGCTACCTGAGCCGAGAAGACTTCAGGGTCTTGACTGCGGTAAGAAACCTGAATTTCTCCTCTCGCGTGTCTTTTCCTATGTCGCCCTCTTTTCTGTTTGCTAGGAGCTGAGCGCTCTGGTCCCAGGGACTTGGCAGAGACCGCCATGGAAATAGGGATTTTCTTAAAAACCCTGGAGAGTGTGATTTATAAAAAGCTTTTGTTTAAGAGCTTGTCGCCCCTCAAATAGAACAGAGGCCCCTCATCTAATTGTTTCCTTCCTTCTTGTTGAGCTTGGGAGATACTTCCATTTCTCAGGCTTGGGAAACTTCTCTGACCCCTGGCTTCTCACCCAGCAGTTTTAAGTCCCATGCTGAGAATTACGTATAGACCTACGGCATTAAATTTCCCAATCACAAGACTCATTCCTTTAGAAAACATAAGTCGGATTTTTATAGCAGTTTCAGGAGATGGGGCAGGGTACAAACGCAAGGAGACAGAGATACCCCTTCAACGTTAAGTAAACAAATGAATACGCAAGGTAACACCAGATAATAAATGCTATGAAAATGATAAAGGATGATGAAATAAAAAATAGGTACATTGGGTGAAGAAATGGGAAGACTGAGAATTTTGTCTTTTTTACTGTTGTAACTAAAGTTTATGTGCTTTTTTTAAAGATACAAGTTGCTGGCCCTTTGCAGACAGTGAATACATACTAGCTAAGTGAAAAAACGAATAGGAGATAGTAGCTGCGTGAGAAGAAGCCAGCCTTAGTGGCGTCTTTAAAAGAAAGAGGTGGAAACAGGGGAGATAACCACAAATTGCAAAAGCGCCGAGGCAGGAAAGTGTTTTAAGAAAAGTCAGAATAGCTGGAGCATAGAACTGAAAAATAAGAGCTAAATGATGCACCTTGCCATTCGGGCTTGGTAAATGTTGGGGGCAAGCCCTGAATATTTTCACTGAGAAAGTAACAAAATCAGACTTTATAGTCTTAGTTTTATAACAAAGAGGAAAAAATACTTATAGCTAGGCATTTGTAGTATAAATCAACACACTTACTTAAGAACCGTTCCCTTTTAGTAAAGAATGAGCCTCTGATGAAGAATGTAATGTGGGATTATACAGCAGTACGTGTAATATTAGTCTTAATGATTCCTGTATTATTTTAAGACTTTGGAGAATTTTGAATTAGTCTTAAAATATACAACACTTACAGGGTAAACTGTTGGATGCCAGGTCTGTATGAAACTGGAGCACAGTTTTCATTCGCATGTAGATTATTCAATCCTCTAGACTTCGAATACCTATTGTCATCTCTGGAAGAAACTTACTTTACTTCCTCAGCACCTTCATTAATTTCTCAGTGCCTCTGACAGAAACTGGAGTCAAAGAGAAAAGTGTTAAGAGCTAGGGAAGGCAGAGGCAGAGTATGAAGTTGAGCCTGAGGTGCAAAGCTTTGATGGGACACCAAAATACCTAATTAATCTTCCAAAACTTTAATTCTGCAGTATTTAAATTCTTTCTGAATCCCACCAAGAAAAGCCATTTAGGTACAGCTTCTCAGTCTCAGTTGAATCTTCCCAGTGTTGTTACCATTCCTTGACTTCCTTTCCCCTTAGCTTTTTTGACTCTGTGTCAGTTACATTGTTTGACTTGCTAAGTTATGAACTCTGTCCTAAATTATATCCCTCAGTCTTTCATTTTCCCCTCATTTATCTCTTGCTATTACATCTGCTTCACAGTTATTTTTCACCTCTGTCAGATTTAATTGGCATGCTTTCTTATAACTAGGACTTCATTCCTATGCATAGACCCATTCTAATTTTCCTTTAACATCCTCATTTGATTATGTTCTCAAAGCAAATTCATCAGTTTTGTCTACTTCTTTTCCCCCTTTTCCCAACTCCCCCAAAGTGTATGCTTTTATAACTGTGTTTGCTTCCAACTATGACTGTCTCTACTCCTTCTACCCTCCCACATTCAGTCACCACACGACTCTTACTGTTTCTTAAAAAGCCTTTAATTCCATCTCTCCATTACTGGTACTACTACTGCTTGCCTAGTTCCAGTTACTATTTCCTTTGAGATGCAGTGCTCTTAAATCTTCCTATTTTGTCTTTTCTAAGCTGATTTTGGATATTCTGCCTAAATTAGTGTCCTAAAAAAAACTCTGCTATACATCTCCTTTGTTTAGATATCTTTGAGTCTTTTGTTTTTCTAGTATAAAGTATAAACTTCTTTTGCATTTCAGAATTCTAAGTGTCTTGTAGAGCCTTTGAAGTGTTTTCTAGCCTTATTTCCATGAACTGTATGTGCCGTCTCATCAGAGTTACTGGTGTATGTACTACCTGTTCCTTGTGCTCAGAACTTTTTGTATGTGTGTTGTTCCCAGATCTTCTTCTTTTATATCCCCTTGCATGTTTCCTCTCAAAGTCTAAAGTGTTAGTTCTTCCTTAAAAGTAATCTTTCAGCTAAAAATTCTCTTGGACCTTGAGATACTTCTTTTAATTCTCCAAGAAAAAAAAAAAAAACTTACGATTTTGTGTGGTTTTTCAATTTTTTACCTTTTACAGGACTTAGCACAAGTATAATATTTGCCATGTGCCATTAGCTTTGTCAGGTGCTCACAGTTCCTACCCTTGAAGTGAAATAGACAAAGAATATGTGATCAGTGAATATATCAAATTGTAATTGAAAATGTTAAAGAAGGGAATAATTGTGTCCTGGAATTATAGTTATGCACTGTATAACATTTCTATCATTGACATTAAATGTATTTGTAAATCCTATAAGATTATATCATCTGGGGGCTAGGGATTTAGCTCAGCGGCATAAGCGCCTGTCTTGCAAGCAGGCAGTCATGAGTTCGATCCCTGGTACCGATAAAAACGAAAAAGACCAAAAAAAAGATTATATCATCTACTGACACTGTAGCCTTCTTGTTAGTTTTTATCATGTTTACAACACAAGGACAAAATTGAGTAATGAAACATATCTCAGAATGTCGCTGCTGTTAAGCTATCCATGACCCAATTGAAGAATTACATAGTCAAAGTTTCAAGGAGAAGTTAATTTCTTTTTTTTTTTTTTTTTTTTTGTCTTTTTCATTTTTATCGGTACCAGGGATCGAACTCACGACTGCCTGCTTGCAACGCAGGCGCTTATGCCGCTGAGCTAAATCCCCAGCCCCGGAGAAGTTAATTTCTTAGAAAGATTTGATAAATGTATTATGTTGATCATGATTTCATAATCCCTTTAATTTCAGGTTGAAATGGGCATGAAGAACCATGAAATAGTTCCGTGCAGTTTGATTGCTTCTATTGCAAGCTTGAAACATGGTGGCTGTAATAAAATTTTAAGAGAATTAGTGAAACATAAACTCATAGCTTGGGAGCGTACCAAAAGTAAGTATTTTAATGCATCATTTTTGAATTTTCAGGTAACTGGTTTCCCCCAAACCATTTATTCAGAAAGCAAGAAAAAGAAATTGCCAGGCTAGACTTAAGAACTGACACAACATTCTACCATACTCTGTTTTTAAGAAAATCACAGTGGTGTAAGCACCTGCCTGGCAAGCACGAGGTCATGAGTTCTATCCCTGGTACCAAAAAAAAAAAAAAAAAAAATGACAGTGCTCTATATGGTATCTGCACGCAACAGTTTATTCCAACTGATGTGTTCATAGAACAATGCAATAGAAATTCAGTATCTGGCAGTATTCATTTTCTTGGTGTTGTGTGTTAATGGTGTTTCTATTGATATAGTATTTTCTGGTTTTTTATATTGGTTTCTTATAGTGTAGTCTTCAACAATAAATAATGTGTTTCTTAAACAAAAAATCACTTACCCTACTAGATTAAAGGAAGTGGGCAAAGGAGTAGCAAGACTGCACTGCAAAAGGGCCATAAGATAGAGATACTTTTGCTGCCATCTTTGAAAAATTCAGTCTGCCACAGGACTCTATACTAGCATTACTTCTCTAGCTGTACGGATGGTGAGGGATGAATTTTTAAGCCTATCATAGATCTTTAGTTTTATAAACTATAATAAAAAGTAATTACCAGAAAGAAATGAATAATAGACATATACAAAAGTTGGCATGAATTCTTTGTCAAATCTGTATAAAAATTTCTGAACTTAAATGCTTCCTTTTTAGTTTCTATTTTTATTTGATCACAGACATTTATAGACTGATAGCTATGAGTGAGTCATACTTTGAGTAACTATACACTAGAGAAATGAGGATTATAGGAAGAAATTGGAAACTTGTAAGTCTGGTTAGTTCATTTTTCCAGTTAAGATTTTCCATCTTTAAATTCTTACTAGATTTGAATTGCTGAGACTTGTTCCTACAATGTAACTAATACTTGATTTTTCTCATCTGGTTTTGTCTAGCTGTCCAGGGATATCGGCTGACAAATGCAGGCTATGATTACCTAGCTTTGAAAACACTTTCTTCTAGACAGGTAGTTGAATCTGTTGGAAACCAGATGGGTGTTGGCAAAGAATCTGGTAAGTCCTAATGATCCTGATGGAAGTATTTTCTTTATATTTCCCCTTAAGAAAGCATTCCTCTTTCAATTTTCCCATCTTTTCCAATAGTAAGTTGGAAATTTGGTTTGAGGCAGTATAGATTATGAGCATGCCATTAGTTTAGTGGGTTACTTTATTGCCTTAGTCCATCACTGAAAATTCAGTTATGCCAAGAATTGCTTTTCCATTAACTGTTCAGTTCTTTGGCAGATGTTTTATTATTCTGTTTTATATCTGATAAATTGTACATTTATAACAGTTAAAATATGTACTATAAGGAAGTAAATACATTTATAACAGTAAAATATGTACTACAAGGCAGTTAATATCTAAAACCAAAAACACATTTTGTCCCACAGTGATATGACCAGAAAGTCAAAAGTGAATATGTTTAAACAGGAGGAAAAAAAAGCATTCTAAAATAATGCTGAACAAGTAGTTGGGCCTAATTTATTGCCTTTGAGAAGATAAGAAAAAAGAACAGGAAATGATATTCCATCATACCTTCTTCCTTACTGCTTTTTATTCTGTATCATTTAAATATGTATTTAAATAAACCGAGGAAACAATTAAACTTGGAAGTAAAAGAATTAAGAAGTCCACCCAAAGATTTCTATACTACGCTATATATGACTTGCAAGACTTCAGAGTATGCTATGCATTTAAAAAGTAATGTTAAAAATAAAGATAAAAAGTAATGATAAAGAACCAAACAGGCATTCTGTTTGTGTGTGTGTGTGTGTGTGTGTGTGGTAAATACATTAATAAATGTATGAGATATTCACCGTAGGGTCAGCATCCTGAGTAATTTTGTTTTTTGCATGCAATACAGTCAGTATTGCTTTTGATTATAAAGCATGAATTGGCTCTTAAGAATACTTTAGTAATATATATGAGAACCAAGTCATAATGAAATAAATTCTGTTTTTAAAGGCTTTGTTTTTTAATTGCATGGCATGATGATGAGTAGTACAAAGGTGAGAGAATGCAGTAACAACTGGTCTTACTCTCAGTCTCCCTTTACTGCATCCCAAAGCTAACACCCTTTATTTTTTCATGTCCCTATAGAAGTTTCCTATAAATATATTACCTATGTAGTGTATGTGTAATGTATTTTGTATATATTATGTATATTAAGGATGTATGTGGAAACATTCATGTACTATTTTAATCACAAGTGGAAGCCAGCAGTATTCACTGTTTACATTTGACTTTAGCACACTTGATACATTTTTGGTATCATTTCACAGCATTTCATATTTTTCTCATAATTGCAGGACATCACATTATATGAAAGTTCTATAAATGATTTTACTTGTTAATGGTTGCTTAAGTTACTTGTCATCCCTTTTGTAAGTAGCAGTGCAGTATGTATCCTTATGCAAACACAGTTATACATTCTTGGCATTGAATTATTGGAAGAGCTGTTGGGTGGCTAGGGCTGCTATAACAAAATGCCTCAGATTGCATAGCTTAAAAACAGAAATGTAGTTTTTGGAGGGTAGAAGTACATAATCAAGGTTTGGTTTCTCTTAAGGCCTCACTTTAGTTTGCGGACACCTGACTTGCTATGTCCTTACCTGATGTGCCTTTTCTGCATCCGTGGTGTGTCTTCTTTTTTCTGATTAGGACTCTAGTTATAGATGGGATCTTACTGTTTGACTTTTTATTTGATTACCACTTTAAAGGGCCTATTCTCAGTTATGCTGGAAATTAGAACTTCAATATAGGAATTTTGGAGGAACATGAAATTCAATATATCCTAAAGGAAAAAGTTCAAAGGCATTTAAATTTTTGATTTACCAGATTTCTCTCCAAAATATTCGTGTTCATTTATAACTTAATCAGCATGTGACAGTGCATTTCTTATTAGAAAATAATCATTAGAATTTCTTCATGAGTAACTAGAATGTTCTGAATGTCATCACTTCAAGCAGCAACTCGTTTTGTTAGCTGAAAGACTGTTTATTAGAAGATTCTTACAGGATTATATTTGAAATAAATAACATTCATGAAAGCAATCGGCAAATTAAACTTAATGTCTTTAAAAAGGAAGAAATGAAGTCACTTCTCTCACAAGACATTAAGGAACTTACGTAGATGGTGCCATTGAACATCATGGAAACAGTAACCTTTTTGACCACTACATCGCTGATTTGTTTTGTAGTAGATATTAATATATGTTGGCTTATAAAGTAAAACGTTGAATACATAGGAAATGAGTTATTTTGCCAAGTATATAGTAGGAAGGATAACAGATTGAAGACAAAGTCAGATAAAGTTAGAAATATGATAAAAGGATAGGGGTCAGGGATTTAACTTAGCAGCTCAGGCACCTCCCTGGTAAGCACAAGGTCATGAGTTTGATCCCTGGTACCTAATAATAATATAATAATGATCTTTTAAAAATCTTGATTCCAGATATTTACATTGTCGCAAATGAAGAAGGACAGCAATTTGCATTAAAGCTTCACAGACTAGGAAGAACCTCCTTCCGAAATCTGAAAAACAAGCGTGATTACCATAAACACAGGCATAATGTTTCTTGGCTTTATTTATCTCGTCTCTCTGCCATGAAAGAATTTGCTTATATGAAGGTATTTTTTATAATTTTACATTGTTTAATTAAATAATACAGATAGCTCATTTTTCAACCAAGTGATGCAAAGACCTTACTGATGAGCATCTCTCTAGCCTCAGGCTTAGTCCCTATAGACACCTGCTTTTAACTCTTGATTATTTGTTATTTTTCTGGTGTTTCCATGTAGTGAGGTATTTTTGTTATTAATGCAAATTTATATGTGTGGAAGTGTATTCATAACTGAAAGATAGGCTCAGAGTATAGTGTTTAGATTTTAAAAATGTATTATAGTAAATGACACATTGCCATTAATTCCCCTCAAAATGCTCCCTTAAACACACTTATCCCATCTTTCGTGCCACTTTCTGAAGCAGTTCTGGAAGCCCTCTTTCACGAGTGTCTTCACAAGTTACGGTCAAAGATGAGGTGAATGGTGCTGTCATGTGCCATCCAGCCGAAAGGCAGGTTTGCAGAAACAGTAAGGCATGTCTTCAGCTGCCTTATTTACAAGACCTGAAACTGTGCTACGTTTGGCTGTTCCCAAAATCAAGATGAACATGAAAGGTAAATACCTTAAATTGATTCAGGACATCAGAACAGGCATGGCAGCGCAGCTGGACATTTGCAGAGGAGGCTTCCAGGACTGCTGTGGAGAGTGGCAAGAACAATGAGGGAGGTGTGTTTGAAGCAGCGGGATGGGGGAATAGCCCAGTGTCTTTTACTATAATACGTTCTATAAACATTTTAAGTGTTAATCAATTTTGATCATTCTCAAATTTCTGTTAATTATAAATACCATGTAATACTATCTGTCAGAAACCTCATTATTCCAAATAATAGACAATATTTTTCTTTAACATAATGGAAAAAATGTCATTTTGCAAACTTGAATTTATATCAAAAATGGTAAAAATACTTAATTTTTAACTTCCATAGTCAGGTTCAGCATGGATTTTTTTTTTTAGATATTTTAAATAATACTCAAATATCTGCAATAACTAAGTTAAACAGAAAATTATATTATGTTTGTATTTTGCCTTGTAATGTGGGATAGTTTCCATTTTTTTTAAATTTGAATTATTGGTAGAGATTCAATTCAGAAAATTTGAATTTTTAAAATTGTTCTTTTTGAGAGTTCAGTTTGTTGTTGAGGTGAATTACTTTAATTCATATGCATACATTTTTAGTAATCCGAGCAGAATTTTGAAAGCAGTGTAAATAGGTGAGACTAGTAGTAGATAGGTTTCTGGTTTATACTAAAAATTTATATCCTATGACATTGTGTCTACAAGTAAGCAGCCTGGTAGGAATGGTTAGAAACTTTCCCAACCTGTGTTAGGTCTTTTTTCAGGGTTTTGTGTTGAACAAACAGAAGTAGAACCTGCTTACATACAAATACACTCCTTAAATACACTAGTACTTTCTAAGAGTTGAAGAATAAAGTACATCTTAATTTCTGCCTGCTGTAATATAAGCTGTAGGCAAATAGCATGTTTAAGGTTATCATATGCCAATATACGGTAAAAATGATCTGCACTGTAAAAACAGCTCTCTGGAAACAAACACAAATTTCTGAGGAGTGGGGAATAGTTCAGTTCCTGTCTACCTAGAGTGGGAAAGGAGTAAAGTGTACAACCTTTGAAAATTAACTGTTAGGATAGGATGAGGTGAAGGAGTGAATACACAAAAACAACCAGTGTGCTTTCTCTAAGTTGGGTACACAGCATATACATAAAACTAATTTTTAAATGCTCTTAGTACATAAGAGTGATATAGAATAGTGAGTTTTATTTTACCATATTCATACATGTATCTAGCATACTTTATCCACCCTCATAGCCCTAGTTTGGTTCCCCTTCTCCCTAATTCCATTCCTTTTAATAGTATCCTCCCATTTTCCTGTCATCTCTCTTTTTAAAAAAAATTTTGGCCATTTATTGACTAGGTTGATAATTTTGGTGTTAAGATTTTTGAGTTTTTTATAAATTCTCTGTCAGAAGAATGTGTAGCAATGATTTGCTCCCATTGTGTAGGGTGTCTCTTCACTCCTCTGGTGGTTTCCCATGCTACGCAGAAGCTTTTTAATTTGACGCGGTCCTGTTTGTTGATTTCTGCACTTATTTCCCATGCTGTTGGCAGTTTCTTCAGGAATTCTTTGCCTGTGCCTGTAACTTAAGTGTTTTGCTTTTTCTAGTCTTTTCAGTTTCAGGTCTTTGTTCCATTTTTAATTGATTTTGTATAAGGCGAAATAAAGAGATCTAATTTCAATCTTAACCAAGCAGATACTCAGTTTTCTTCACACCATTTGTTAAAGAGACTATCTTTTCTCCAGTGTGTATTTCTAGCTGCTTTGTTAATAATCACATGGCTGCAGTTGTGTGGGCTTGTTTCCACATGCCCTATTCTGTTTCACTGGTCTACATGTTTATTTTGTACCAGACCCATGCTGTTTTTGTTATCATGGCTTTGTATATTTTGACATTGAACTGTCTTATTTTGGCTAATATGCTCTCCAGCTCCAGCCATTTTCCTGCACTGCTAACCAAGAACAGATTTTTAAAAAACAAATTAATATCTTGAATTTAGAGAAACTGAATGTAGTGGAGTAGTTGATGAAGGTGGTTTTCTGCAGTAAGAGTTTAGTAGATTCGTAAAGCTTGGCTATGATGTGACTATAAAGAAAGGACAGTAAGCATTGGAAAGGAGCCCGTATGGGCAAAGTGCTGTAAGTGGCACAGAGTTGTCTGTCCTGACTGCCCTTCAGGGAACTTGCTGAATACAGAATAGGACTGAATAAAGAGAATTGTTCATTACTAAAATCAATATTTATGTCCATTTTCAAATGTTCTTAATTGAACACTGATGTAAGTATCTTGGTCTGGTATGGGTCCATAGAACAGGTTAGGTATGGCCGCTCCTGGTAGAATTCTAATGGAATAACCAAGTGTAAATGAAAGATTCTATAAACGTAAAGTATTTTCAAGGAAATAACAATAGGATTTTTGTAGAAGGAAATAAGCATGGAGGAAAAGATAGATGTTTAGATGATCTGAAGTAGTGCTTGACTGAGACTAAATGTCACACAATAAATTTATATTGTATATTGAAAAATGTCTGTTCTTTACACACTAAAATGTCTGACTTTGGAATGGTTCTTTTCCTACTATGCAGAAGACAGAGCATATCTTAATTTGTTTTATTTGGAATATTTCAAGCATACATCAACAAATAACGAAAACAGAGTAAAAATGAAATAGCCTAAGAGACTGAGCTTCATGAGGGCTCATTTTTGTGAGTCTAGCAAAGTGCATAATCGGTAAATATTCATTTATAGAGCAAAGGTAAATTCAAACAAGCAAGTTTAAAATTTTTTATGTACCGCTTACTCTTGCAGTCATTAATAAGCAGTGTATAAATAACCATGTATTATTTATGATTGCTTTTAATAAAGCTTTGTGTGGTTTTCTTACAGTGGGGGGAAGTTAAATTTACTTTTTGTTCTTTTAAAAAGCATCAGCTTACACCTGTTTTGCCATGTTTCAGGCATTACATGATAGAAAATTTCCAGTTCCAAAGCCAGTTGATTACAATCGTCATGCAGTGGTCATGGAGCTCATAAGTGGTTATCCTCTGTAAGTACTCCTTATTCTTGAAACCATGCATCCCAGTAAATGAACTTACAGTACCATTTTGATGAATAAGTTTTCCTTTAATTCACAGAATGTTGCTTCTGAGATGTTAGGAATTGACTTAAAGGAATAAATCCTTTAAGACAAGTTAAAAACTCAATTTCATTGTTTCAGTTTGGATTTTATAATCTCTGTTATTCATTCACTCAGTATTTATTGTTTTATATAAGCCAAATGCTTTTAAGCTCAGCAGTGGACGAAACAAAGTCCTTGCTTTCATGAAACTTGCATTTTGATGGGAAGAGGCATGCCTTAGATAACTAAACAAGAAAATAATATGTCAAGTGTATCAATAAGTGCTATGGATAAAGTAAAGCAGAGTGTGGGGGATAAAAATACCAAGGTGGGAGTAAAAGATTACTATTTTGCATAGTAAAGAAAAATTTTACTGATAAGGTAAAAATTTATGAGTGCAAAAAGTTGAAAATGCAGAAAGATGTATAGATATATCTTAAAGGATATTACAAATACAGAATAGTAAATACACAGGCCTTGCTTGAGAGCACATTTGGCAGCCAGGCCGAGGTTGAGAGGAAGCTACCATAACTAGAGCTGAGTGACTGAGAAAGTAAGAGACGTGGTAAGTAGTGATAGCTCATAGGGAGTTTGTGACCACTTCACTTAGGATTTGTGGACCTTTGTAAGATTTTTAAACTTAGATTGAAACAGAAAGACATAGGGCTATTGTAAGCCAAGAAAAGATGAGGTATAAGTCTTTAAAAGATCACTGGCTACTTTTATTAAGAGTAGACTTAAAAAGGCAAAAACAGTAGAAACGTAAGTTAGACTGTTGAAATAATCTAGGCAGGAGATGGTAGTAGCTCTGATCACAGTGATAGGAAGTGTAAGAAGTGCTCCAAGTGTATTTTGCAAGTTGATCAACGTGAGTTATTTGCAGTTGGGGATGGATGTGAAGGAAAGGGGGAGTCAGTGATGACAGCCAGGCTTTGGCTTGAGTGATGATCAGTGAGGAAGTACTTCTTAAGTGAAAGAAGTATTTAAAGGCGAAGAAAGAGATCAGCTGCCTAGACATAATAACTAAGGCTTTGGATATAGAAATATGGAAGTCAACAGTCTTGACAAGAACCAATTTCATTAGGATAAGGTGGATGAAAGCGTGTTTGAATTAGTTCATACACAAGTGAGAGGACAAGAAATTGGTGAAAGTTTGGCTCTGAGAAAGACTAAAGAAAAGAGGTTGTAGTGGGGTAAGATTTTGAAATGGCCTTTTAAATAACTGAAACATGTTATGTGTGGTCATAGGAACAAAAACAAGATTGCTAGACAGAGTAATATATATGTGCACATACACTTTTGTTAAGATCACAACATGTACAGATAACCTATTTACATCTTTAAAAATCTTTCAGATGCCAGATACACCATGTTGAAGATCCTGCATCTGTGTATGATGAAGCGATGGAACTCATTGTCAAACTTGCAAATCACGGATTGATTCATGGAGATTTCAATGAATTCAATCTCATACTGGATAAAGATGACCATATCACCATGATTGATTTTCCACAGATGGTTTCAACGTCCCATCCCAATGCTGAATGGTATGTACTGTAATTCATTTGTAGATGTGGGAGTGTTTGTATGTGACAAAGTCTTTTTAGCATAATTTCTAATTTTATAACAGTTTTATAACTGTTTTGAAGTTGCAGGTTTTAATGATAAAAAAGATTTGTTTTGCATAAAAAGCTACATTACTGTTACACTAGAATGTCCATGATCAGAATGTTTCCTATCCTTAGTAGTTTTGAAGAAGAAACAGTATACTTTGATCCAATTTTTTTAAACCTGTGATAAAGTTTTTGCTTTGTATTGGGAATATGAAGAAATTTTCTTTTTTATTTATATAAGCTATTATAAAGATAGCATTGAAAGAATTTGAGTTACTCTATAACTGGACAAAGGTTCAAGTCAAGCTTGCATAAACATGTTATACTTTGTCCAAACAGACTTTTAGATGGAAGCTCACTTTTTAAAATAGATTAAAGCCTTCTCAGAAGAAGTTGGGGTATGGAGAGGGGAATCTAGAACCACCACATACTTTCTGTCTTTCCTCTTCTTTCTCTGCTGCATGGTTACATTCAAGAGATCCTCACCAACCGTAATTAATTTTGGGTGGCCTTAGTAAAAATTGTGGTTTTGTATAGGACATAGTTTTCAGACCAATGATAATTACTTCTCATGTTATTTTTATTTTTTATTACTAGGAAAGAATTCACGTAAAATTTCTCTTGACACAGGGCAGAATACTTTATAAACTGTGATAATCATATTCTTCATATTACTTAACCACTTACACCAGCCAAGTTGTGAAATACGATCTTTTCCTTTATTTGTATTCCATGATACAGCAATTGTAACCAGATTTAAGGTTAAGTGTTTTTTCTCTCTTCATGTTCCAGGTTTTATGAGAAACTTCTTTTTCACAAAGTAGCAACTGGTGTCACTTATATAATAGTATATTCCTTCTTGCAAAGTTTGAGCTCGAAGCAGTCTATATTAAGTGACTGCCTGGCTTCCATTAGAAACTGTCTATACTTATGCTAGAAAAAGAAATTTTAAAAATATTTCCAACAAAAAAATACTAAAAGATTAATATCTGGCACTCGTGTGATCAGTACTCTAGTAGATGTTATATTGGCTAATCATGATTTTTATTAATATAGAATAGCATAGTTACACAATAAAGTAACATTTGGAAGCCACCAGTTGGATGGCATTGATGATAGATTAGTATATTCTGCATTGTTCTTTGGAGAAGCATTGTGATTGAATTTACATAAACCAATAGTGAGATGAAGGAGTTAAGAGCTAGAAATTAATATAGAAATAAGCCCTGTCTCTGCTTTGAAAAAGATACTGTCTGTTCAGGGAAATATGAACTTAAATAAAATAAAATGATAACTTTCAAGTTTAGTAAGATTTTTTCTCATGGCCCTGAAAGCAAAAAAGAGTAGCATTGTCTTCCTATTCTTAAACTTCATCTTTTTCAAAATAATGTGGTTAAAAATTCAAGAAGATGGTCAATTCCATCTCATCTTGTCCTCGACTGTCTGTTACCTGGAAATGTTCTAAGGAACAGAATCTGTTCTTGCTGCTTTATGGTGGCCAGCAAAGTAACCTGGTATTCAGAGTTACTTCTAAACTCAGTCCAGTTTAACTTGTCTTCAGATCATTATCTCTGTAAGCCATAGCATTCCTGATCTCTTCAGGTGTTATGGATGATTAATGTACAAAATCTCCAAAGTTTCCCTTAGGAGTCATCCGTCATTTATCTTTAGCTTTCCCACTTGGCAGAGGGTTCTAGTAGATTTGCTGATGGGAGGCTTTACCAGACAGACTGGTGACTAACGAGAGTGAGTGGAAACCTGAGCATAGTCTCATATTCTGCGTTCACACTTGTCCTTAGCCCAGTACATTTTACTCCATATAAGAAGCAGTCTGAGAAAAGCTTGGCTTCTCTAACCGTATGAACTATATTGACATATTCCTTGAGATTTCCTCCTGTGGTAGTTTTTCCAGTACATTGGCAACTGATGCATACACCTTTACTTTTGTATAACATTTTTTCTCCACTTCACAACAAACAGATATAACAAACCATAAGGATATTATTAGCTGATTAGAGAATGATCAAAAATGCTATCAAAAATGATTATTTTTCTCTTTTTTTATTTTGAGGTATTTTGACAGAGATGTTAAATGCATCAGAGATTTCTTCATGAGACGTTTTGGCTATGAAAGTGAGCTTTATCCAGCCTTCAGTGATATCAGGTTTGTACTTAGCATTGCTTAAAATGATAGGTCTGTTAACATTTATTTAACACTATCATCTAAAAAGAAATGTTCAGTAGTGATCTTTGACACATTAATTGCTGTTACTATTGGTCTGCAGTACATCAGTGAAACTTAAATGTGAAAAATACTTGTCTTTATTTATATATATATATTTGTTGTATATATATATATATATATGGTTTCTTACATGTTCAAGAACTTTTATTGTTTTGGATTTTATGGAAAAAACTCATAAGGAATCAAAGCAACTTTTTTTTTGTCTTTTTTGAGATGAGGTCTCGCTATGCAGCTCAGGCTGGCCTTGAGCTCACTTTGTAGCCCAAGCTGGTCTCGAACTCACAACGATCCTCCCACCTCAGCCTCCCGAGTGCTGGGATTACAGGCGTGAGCCACCACGCACAGCTAGCAATTTTTTTTTTAATTTACATTTTTTTCTTTATTCAGAACAAAAACTATCTTAAATTGATTGTTAAAAAATAATTGAACATTGTCTAAGTTTTCTCATTCGTTTTCTATGCTTTTATTATTTCCTGACTTGAGTTGTTGTAATTTTTAAAAGTTTAGTTCCTTTTTGAAACTTTACTTAGTAAATTAGTAATAACTGAATTTTCTATAACTTTTTATGTGTATTGCTTTTTAGTTTGTTTTATTCTTAAAATGGCAGACAGCTTATATCCTTCGTGTTATATATTTAAGTTTAGTGTTTTAGGCAAAGAAAAGTATTTCAATTTAACTTGAGAATACTAATTTATCAGAGTAGTAGATACTTATTTATCTCGGTTAGGTGTTTTTTCTCTTTGAGTACTTGACCCTTTTCCTCCCCCTAGGAGGGAGGGTTCTCTTGATGTCGAGGTTTCTGCCAGTGGTTACACAAAGGAAATGCAAGAAGATGATGAGCTGCTACAGCCACTGGGCCCAGATGATAAGAATACTGAAAGAGAGGAGGGATCTGCTTTCTCCCTTTCTGAAGATGAGCTGTCAGAGAAAGCAAAGGTTTGTAGCTCAGAAGCTGAAAACAAGCAGGATACCATGGGTGACTCGGGGTGCTGCTGCAGCTCATCTGCAGACCTTGAGCAGATGAAAGGAGACAGTTCAGAAGAGAGTGCTCCTGCACACAGTTTTGAAATGCCGGAATTCAGTCAACCCTTAGAAGAAATAAAAGGGCAGATGGTTGAAAACCGCTGTACAGCCAAGTTTTCTGAGGAGAATAGGACTGAAAATGACACCGAACAAGAAGACCAGACAAGTCAAGGAGGAACCCCTGCTGGCTCTGAGGAGGAGGAAGATGACTGCCCTTGCCTCGTTAGCGGATCGCCATTAAACAGAGAGCCCAGGCCTTTCAGGTATAGACTTTTATGGATTGTTTCTTGATTCTTAATATTCAGACCAAGGCTGTTTGGTTCTAGTAAATGACTGTTTTAGAAAAAAATAGTTTGAGTTCTGTTCTGCCGTTGCTTTGTACAAAACAAAACCAAATACCCTTGCTCTTACTAAACTACTGGCTTTCCTGAAACTCCAATTTGCTTAGTACAGATCCTAGGACTTACAACCACATAATCTAATTTCTAAAGTGCTACCCTTGACTTATGATGGTGTGACTTACAATTTCTCAATTTTACAATGATGCAAAAGTGACATGTTTTTGCTAAAAAACATCAAATTTTGTCTTTACCTCAGGTGGTGATTTGGGCCACGAAGTACTAAGCTGTAGCTCCTAATCAATGTAATCACAGTGGTAAACAAGAGATACTGTGTTGCTAAACTATGATGAAGTTAGAAGCATTTTGGACTTAAAATATTTTCAGTCTAGATCCCAAAGCCTAAAAACCGGGAGAGCCAACAGTCTGGGTTCCAGTCTGAGTTTGAAGGCAGAAGATTGATGTCCCACCTGAAAGACAGGCAGGCAGAAATACCAAATTCTCTCACTTTGCCATTTTTGTTGTTTTTGTGCTTTCAATGAATCGAATTGGGCCTATTCATATTGGGAAAAGTCTGATCTGCTTAGTCTGTCAATCAGAAACAGCTTCAGGTACACCCAAAATAATGTTTAAATAAATAAGAGTGCCCAATGGCACAGTAAAGTTGACACATAAACATCATTGTAATAAAAGAAAAATTAGGGTTAAATGGTCTTCTAAGTTCGAAGCAGGGAACGGAAGTCTTACATTTTCATTCTCTGGACATGTGCTAGACAAAACTTTCATTATGCATAGTAGCAAAGTAGATGTCCTGAAAAATAATTAACATTTTCTGTGTTCTTACACATTTTTATTACTGATCAATGTAAAAAAGAAGTTAGTTTCCATGGTTTTAGTTTTTACTACCTTACAGTCATAGAATTCTGCCTCCCGAATATTTGGAAAGGTGACAAGAAAGTGTAGGAGGCATTTAGATTGTGAGAGGCAGATTGTGTAATTAAGTAAAAGAAAAGGGGAAATCTAGTGGAAAAAAATGAATGCGGGAAACAATCTTTCTGAGAAATTTTTGGAGTTTTACAGTCAGGTAAGACAAATTAATTCAGTCAGACATGATTACATTATAAGAATTAACTGAAAGAATTCTGGTCTTAAAATTTTATTCTAGAGATGAAGAAAATATGGGAAATGTTAATCAGTCTAGAACAAGAACTCTGAGTGTTACTTCTGCAGGCAGTGCTGTAAGCTGTTCGACGATTCCTCCAGTAAGTACCTTTACCACTTATTGATTAAGTCACAGGTTGATGAGCACAGTTCTGTGAAGATTACAAGTTACCTTTGGATGTTTGGACTTTACCATGTCAGTGTTAAAATTTATAAAAAGTAAAATTTAGTAACACATAAGAGGGTTTAGTTTTAACTGCAATGGTCAAAGCTTTTAGGAAAAAAGTCGTATGTAAATTTGCTTGAACTCGAAGGATAAAAATCATAAACATTTTAGAATCAAGGGGACTTCTTATATTCTCATATTCTTTAGTCCTTTCACTTAACAATGAGGAAAGTGAAACCTAGACACGTTGGTTGACTTTTTCTAAGGTACATACCTAATAACAGCAATATACCTTCACAAGCCATTTTTTCATAAAGTTGGAGAGAAAAATAGGATAGTTTTACCATTTTTGATATCTAAAGTATGTGTTGGATTCTTTGGACATTTCTCAACATTTGGATTATTTGGACATTTATCAATGTCCAAAAAAAATCACAAAAGGGACATTTTTCTGAACAAGATGATAAGCAAAAATATTCTGGCTCCCCCTGAGGTGCCAGCCTTCTTTTAGAACTACTCAGAAGGAAGACTCAGGAGATAATCACTCATTCTCTCAACAGAAAGCTAGTCTCACTGGCCTGTGGAGGTGCTCTCTCTCCTGCTTCCAGACATCAGTGTTACAGTGTGTATGTCACTGTACTCACCATTTAAGAACTACGTGGTTCTATATCCAACATTAAGAAAATAAGTAATATATCACTTTTTTTATAAATTAAAATTACATAATTGGTATATCGGATTTTTTTCCTCCTTTTTGAAAATGAGCACATTGGTTTAGTGATTACTTATGAGCAAAAGAACAAAATCGGGGTAAAAAAGGAGAAAATGAAATGATTAGATAAAAAATGAATTCAGAAGAATACAACTTCTTTTCCTACCTTTGTAGTCCAGGTTCGGAAGTATTCAGTCAGTAAATTAAAATGTGCTGTGTGGTTGGTGGTATGGGATGTTTACCAAATTAAATCAGAGCTAGCAAAACAAGATTAAAACAAAAAGTCCTGTAATTTGTAATTACATAGTTCCAGGGTTTTACTTGATCCCAGAAACATTTAAAACTTGTCAGACCAGTAAGAAAATGAAATTCTAGAAATACCATTGCTTTTATATACCTGTCCTCAAGGTCTGGTGATTTCCTTGATTTTTTCAAAGAAAATTTGAAATCTGTGAAGTGTATATTGATTATTTTAAAAGATCTTCTAAGCATTATCAGCTTGTCTTTATTACAGATTTCTCACCATTCACAATCACCTGTCCTCTTAGCTTTATTTTGATATCTACTGAGATTTGTTTGCCTTTCTTTGATTTCTCAAAATCAAAACATAATTTTATAATAGCTAATTAGTGGAATAAAATTGTTAACTACATATAAAGAAAATCAGATGACTAATCTATGCTATATCCTTAAATTCTAACTTATGTGCTTTTCTCCGTATAAAGATAATGGCATTGACATTGTCAGAGGCCAAGTTAACGTTGTGTTTGCATGTCCTAACCTTAAAGTCTTACTGCTTTAATTTGATTCTTATACGTCTCTTAGAGCTAGCAAAAGAATTTAAAATTTTAACAACAGTCAAGTCTTTAACTCTTACATCTCGGGGTTTATGAATTACATTTTAAAATACAAATTTCTAAGGAAGGTGGAAAAAGATCCTTTCAACCTGTTCTCTCTGATCATTTGAAACAAAATTAGCTCAAGTCTACATCCTCTTAAATTTTTTATCACACTTTTCCTTGGAAGTCGTATATTTCATTAAAAAGTTAGGAGGTGCACACCTGTAATCCCAGCAGTCACTCCAGAGGCTGAGGCAGGAGGATCCCTGTGGTTTTGAGGCCAGCCTGGACTATGTGGCAAGTTCAAGGACAGCCTGAGCTGCCTAGCAGCAAGACCCTGCCTGAAAAACATAAAAGAGAAAACTTTACTACCTCCATTAACTTGATTGTTGTTTTGGTATTTATATGTACAAAGACAAAGGATTTCCTTTTTGTTCTTTGAAATTATATTTGAAAAACCTATTTTTCTCCTTAAAATATTTTTATAGTATTTGTTGGCCATTTTGTAAACTCTGTCCTTAATACATAACAGAAATTATAATTCAGCAAAAAGATACACTGCTTTTTAATAAATATGAATGTGGCTACTACTTAGTAGAACTTTCTTGTTTTAACAACCAAAAAACAACATAGTTTTCATTAATTTTATGTATTCCCTAAAATAACACACAAATGTTTGACTTTACTGCACATTATACCAACTTTTAAAACATGCTAAGTTAAATCCTCCCTTTTTAAATATATGTAAATTAACCTCATAGGCTTTGTAAATTGTTCTAATTTGGGTGGCAGTGTATGCATATTAATCCATCATTTCCTTATTTCGTGTGATATAACTATGTTCTCAGTGTAAATAAGTGGAATTACAAGAAAATATTGCTGCTACACGCACACTCTTAGCCTGCCTAATACATACTCTGTAGGCCTCTAGTGCAGGTTCTAGATTCTTATTAGTGTAGGAAGCACTCAGAGTTCCAAAACAGTTTCCCGGGGCAGGGTACAGTCCTAAAACTTAGCCAGTTCTCTTTTCAGTCCATAAATCTGTAGAATGTCAGGTGATTCCAGGCTGTCCTGAGATGGTGACGCAGTATCACGTGGAACATCAGACACTGTCAGGTCATTTCTGTATCTGAATTTTGACAGTATTCTCAGATACTGTTATCAATAGTAAATGCCTTAAAAAAGATTTTCTATTACAAAGTCATGTGTAACTGGGCATATTGGCACACACCCGTAACCCCAGCCACTTGGTAGACTGAGGCAGAAGGGTCACAATTGCAAATCCATCCTGGGCAACTTGCAAGACCCTGTCTTAGGAGGGAGGGAAGAAAGCAAAGGAAGTTTTCAACTTACTTTTCTACTTCCGTTTTCATTGCGGACCAGCAGGTGGCACTATGGTGAACTGTTATTTAAACTATCGTTACTATACACTGTGGTTTTTTTGCTATGTAATGTGTTCTCTTAGGAATGTAGTTTCAAATTTTATCACTTTCTCTAGTTTTACTTTATTGCTAGTTTAGTATTATCTGTGGAATTTTTTAAATTTATACTTCATAACATACTTGAAAGACATTACCAACTAGATTTTTGTTTTAGTGAATTTCTATTCCTTATCAGTGTTATTTATAAAATCTCTCTAGGAATTGATAAAACAGAAGGTGAAACGCCAGTTGACAAAACAGCAAAAGTCAGCCATCAGACGTCGGCTACAGAAAGGAGAAGCAAACATATTTACTAAGCAACGAAGAGAAAACATGCAAAATATTAAATCAAGTTTGGAAGCAGCCAGCTTTTGGGGATAATAATACATTGTTTAAGATACTGGATATTTCTATTACATATTTTTTCAAATTACTGTGACTGTTGAGCACCTTAGGTCTTTGTTGGACCAGTTCTAGTGTATTAGTAGGTAAATAAACCTATTTTTCACTATAAATTGGACTCATTCTCAATGTATTCTGTGGTGGTTAAACTCGACTGGGTCAGCTTGTCTTGAGAGCTGCTGGGGGAATTGGCGAGGCAGACTTCTGGGAATGCCCGGGCGGGTCGTAGAGGCATGACTGGCGTCTGTATCTCACCTCACCCTTTCCTCTCTGATGTTGCTGAACTGCTTTGCTTCCTGCTTTCATGGCCTAAGCAGCTTTGCTCCACTGTACCCTTGTACCACGATGTTTGTGCTTTGGAGCCTGATGATCATGGACCAAATCCTCTGAAACTATGATCTAAATTCAACCTCTGCTTTGTGGGTGTCAGGTACTGTGTCCAGCAACAAGAAATCCAAACAGAAAATTGGTACCAGGAGTACAATGTTTACTGAGACTGTACTTGACCATGTGATTTAGAAGCCTTTGGAACTTCTTTGCAGGGGAGGTTTGGAAAGGTTTGGAGATGGGGTAGAGAAGCATTAGAATGCTGGGTGCAGAGCAGATGAGTGATTCTGGTCAGAAGTTAGAAGGCTAGAATGCTTCTAGAAATGCAACTGGTGAAGTGTCAGGCTCAGGAGGTTTCCTTTGGGAATGAGAACTTCACTGACAATTGGACTAGAGGTGGTGTGTGTTACACTCAGTAAAAAAATCTGTCTACATTTTCCTATGTCTTAAAATTTTGTGGGAGATTGCAATTTGGGGCAGTGGACTAACTGATGTGGCAGAGGAAATTTTAATGTATTCCAACATTCAAGTAGTGGCATAGGGACTGCTGACTGCCTGTAGCAAGATTTATGGTGCAAATTGATCAGCAAAGAGCAGAAAATTTTGAGATAAGTTTTGGTTCCATAGCAACCATACCAAGTTGAGGCCAAAGGAGGATATTAGCTCCATTAAAAACAAACCAAGTACCTTTTACAGGATCAAGAACAAAAGATGGCATTGAGGACATCTCAGAAATCAAGACCACGTCTATCAAAGGCTCAAAGGTATATACAGGAAAACCTTTCCTTTGAGAGGACAGTCCCTGGGTCTCCTGCTCAAGAAGGACCTCCTAGGGGATTGGTTCCCGAGATTTTATTACTCTCAGCCATCCACGCACTTAGCAAATACTGCACCTATAATCCAAGGGGGCCTGCTGCTGATAGCATACCTTGGCACCATCCCTGTAATGGTAATTTTTGCCTAGATGCAAAATTTTAGGGTTCTGGGCTCAGGAAGATTTCCACCCAGATTTAAAAACAATGCCTGGGAGGCCAGGCAAGGAAACACTGAGGGTAATGTGTCACACTGTGGGAATGAAAGCAAGAGTGGAGTATAGACCCAGGGAACTTGGAGATGCCAGAAACACGGAACATTTGCTGAGGAAAGCAGTAAATCATGAGTTGAACCAGCCCAAGAAAGCCTATAGGCTGCAGCCAGCAAGTCTACAGGGATCGGGCTGCTCAAGCCCTTGAATCTCATGTATTTCACCATCGTGTACCTGGGATGCTGAACATGCAGTAAAGAACTTAACGTTTGTCCTTCAAGGTTTCAGTCTCACTTTGGCTCTATTCTTTTCTATGTTCAGTTCCTCCCTTCTGGAATGAGAATGTTTACTCTGTGCTGTTGTACCTTGAGATTATGTAACTTGATTTTAGTTTTGCAGAGCTTCACAGCTAAGTTTGCCTCGAGTTTCAAAAGAAAGTTGGACTTGGACTTTTGAAAAAGGCTGGAACTCTTGAGAGTTGGGGAAGGGATTATTGTGTTCTTGGTTACATGCAGGATGGTTGTCACATTTTGGGAGAATTACTGACAGGTTATTGTATTTACTTGGAGATTATGTATTTACAGAGTCTGGTGTTAAGTTGATGGGGTGAAATATAGTGGTTAAACTCAGTTGGGTCAATTGGATTGGTCTGGGAACTGCCCAGGAAATTGGTGAGGCAGACTTCAGGATGTGTTTGGGCAATTCATGAAAACGTGACCTGGGTTCAGAATCCAGTGTTTTCACTTACTGGTAGAAACAACTTAAAGTAAAGTATAGTTATTTTCCTTTTTTTCTGCCTGACTTTTTTTACTGTTAAAATTGGATCCATAACTGCTTTGTACAGTTGTTTTGAGGACTATGTAAGATTAGTCACTTAAAGCTGTAAGACCAAGGCCTAGCACATTATAAGCATTTAATAAGGTGTTAAGTATCAGAATGATAATTATAACGACTTCTGTATTTCTGGAATTCTGCTAACAACTCAATTCCTTTTATTTGGCTATTGGACAAGTTAATTATCTTTTGAGTTTTTTGTTTTGGGGTGTGTGTGTGTGTGTGTGTGTGTGTATCTTTTGAAGTAAAAATAATCATAATTTACTTCATCAGTTAATTAATGGCTTACCCCATAATCTCCTTGGTGCCACTTACCTCAGCAGTGCTGTCATAGGAACAGAATGTTGATATAATCTTGCCATGGTTTTTACAGTTGGCAGCTTTTAGGTAGCAGAAGTGGAAGAGTTTGGGACAGGAAGGGGCAAAAGGAATGAGGAATAAAATGTTCTTTCTCATTTTCTTACATAGGTGAGTCCAGAACGTGTTTTCATCTCAGCATCAACAAGTACTGCAGGAAATAAAATTCATAAGCAATGGTCTCTTCCTTAAGGACTTTATTATTCAGTGAGATACAAAGATGGGTGTATACACTGGATGATAATCGTGTCTCTTTAGCATTCCCGAGTAGAGGAGTCTAGGGCGATCACCTATAGAGAAGAGTGACCACTAGGTGGCAGTGTCACCCATGACGTCCTTAAATTACTGCTTCTGTGATAATGGTATCAGGGACTATGGTAGATGCTTTTCCAAACTTGATAAAGATGTTAGTTCTTTCACCCTTGAAAAATTAATTATATTGGCTTTTGTAATGTAGTTGTCTAATAAATTGGTTTGACCGTAGAGATACAAAAAAGTCAGATTCAGTTTTTATAAAAACTAATCTTGAAACTATTTAGACCTACTTTGAATTTTAGATACGCTTTAAATTCAGGTATTCATTTTTATACATTGAGCATTTTATTACCTAAAGTAACATGAAAAACAGCTTAATTGAACCACAGAATGTTTATTTTGGAATATATTTTCTTATATTCAGAGTGTTGAAAGCAGTTGGAAATAAAATGATTATGATCTCATCCTACTTGGCTTCACTTGACTGAGTCAACTTGTGGGTACCTACTACATAAAAAACTTGTTACTCTTTGAGAAACTTAGCAAATATGCATGGGCCTTAGCCGTAATAGCTTGCTATTTCATGTGGGCCACAAAATAAACTCATATCTGACATGGAGGCCTCATTTGGACAAAGACTATTTCTAGCTACTGCAAACTTAGTAATAAAGGATATGTTTAGGAATTTAATTTTCTTGAGTAATACGTATTTGAAAACTAGCATCCAATCACAATAGTTATTTGAAAATAACGTTTTGAGGTAGTAATTAATTAGAAGTTAGAGAATTTGCCCTATCAGGCAACCCTCATGTTTTAAAATATCCATGGTGAACTATGGGCAAAAACAAAATGTGAGTCTACTCAGTGTCTCGGGCTGAAGCTGTGATTTTAAACTTATGAGGGCCTGAGTGTGTGGCTCAGATAGAGGACTTGTCTAACAATCACAGGGTCCAAGGTTTCTTCAACTGTATGTCAAGTTAGATAGATAGACACACACACACACCTCCAGGAATTCTAAATTAAGTGATTCTACCATGTATCTCTCTATCTTCTGTAGCTTCTCCAACTTAACATTTCCAATTTGTAAAATGGGGACATTACACAGTGCCTATCAGGGTTTTTGAGAAGAGTAAGTGAAACAACTTAGTGTCTGCCATACGCTGTATGTTTAGTAAAGTGACATGGCTTCTTAAGATTACTCCAAAAAAGGCTTCAGTCTTAGTTGCTTTCCATATCTCTGGGACACAATACCCAACACCTACAACTTGAGAAGAGGTTTATTTTGGCTCACAGTTTATAGAGGTTTCCATCTGTAGTCAGCTGTCTCCAGGGCAGAAGCAGCATGGTGGAAGGGCCTTGCCATGGAGGAAGAAAGCTGTTCAATTTATGGAAACCCAGAAGCAGAGTTTAAGGGAGGAGCCAGGAAGGCAGATACAGCCTCCTAACAGAAAGTGAGCTATGATGCCTCTACATCCATCACCTTTCCAAAGGTGCATCACCTATGAGTACATGAGGCACTGGGGGGACATCTAGATACAAACTGTAACACAGAGAAACCATCCTCTTATTTTCAAGGTCACTGTCATTTAAACTACTTTTTTTAGTATATTTATGAAACACTCCCAGGAGTTGGGGAGTTGCTTAGCGACAAAGCACATGTGAGGGCCTGTGCTCAATCCCTAACAACTCAAAGTGTAACAGGAAGCAAGTGTTTTGCTTGTCACTTCCTTGCACAGTCTCTTAGTCTTTGCATTAAAGATTTTACTGCAAAGTACATGCTTATATTTTGTAATGGTAGCCATTGCTTTGTATTGGTGGTCATGGAACTGTTCCTCAACACACGGCTAGCTGAGCTTTCCCTCAAATCATAAAAATATTTAAAGAGTACAGTCAGAGAGCTAATGCACCTTAAGAGAGTCACCGTTTGCCAAATAGTAAATTTTCTGGCAAAATAAATACCTAATCTTTTAAATTATTGATGCTGCCATCCAAGTTTATCTGTCACTCACAAAGAACAAAGAAATGAGTTCCCTGGGTTTTTAGATAGAGCACTTCCTGAGGGATAGGGTTATTTCACTGTCACATACTCAAGATTCTGAATAGGTAACGGGCCACACTGTTTTTCAGCCACCGAACATCTAGAGCATCAGACTATATTGTTTGCCCTTGGTTTGCTTTATAAAGTCCTAGAGGTAACTTGTACCACTGTATAAGGAGGCTGGAGATGATAGAAGTTCATAACAACCATGCAATAAATAGTTGTATTATAACCAGTAGCATGGCTGATAACTCCAAGACATACAACTTTTAAAGAAA